TATATATATATATATATATATATATATATATATATATATATAAACCAGAATAAAAGACAGGTAACAAACTAGAAAGATATCTGATACATATATATAAAATCTCCATCCATATGTACATACAACAAATGAGAAGAAAAGGAACAATCAGTGGGATGGGAACATGGATAAACATGAACAAGCAGTTCACAGGAGAAATAGTCCATATATATGTACAATGTTGTTCCACCTTACTGCTAATCCAAAACATCTAAATATAAACAGTCATGATTTAAAACATTGATAATATCCATTGTTGAGAAAGTTATGGTGAAACAGAGATTCCTATCAGTTGTTAGTTCAGGTATGAATTGATCAACCATTTTGTAGGTCAGTTTGGAAATGTATATCAGAATTGGAAGTATCTACATTTGCTTTGCTCTAGCACTTCCTCTTTTAGAACTTTATCTCAAGGAAAAATCTGGTAAGGATATAAAGATACATGCATGAGGGCATTTATCTCTTTGTTTATGATAGCAAAAGAGCGTATACATTTTAAGTTGTTCCCAGTAAGAGAATAATTATAGTATGGTACATTCATAAAGTGAATATTACTCAGCCTTTAACAATAATAATAACCTAGCTCTATAGTATACAATATAGAAAGATATTCCTGACATTTTATTAAATGAATAAAAAAGAGTAAAACATTGTACTGTCATTTCAAAATATTATGTATATTTTCATATCAAGCATTAATTCAGAAAAAGAAGGGAGGAAAAGAGAATGGGAGAGGAAGTGAGAGAGGAGCACAGCAGAAATCATCCAGCATTTATATAGAAGTCAAAGCTGTTTAGATCCTGTGATAGGTTTCTTCCTTTGCATATATCTGGACCTAAGTCACTGATTCGTGGGAATACATCCCATTTCTGCTGACAACTGGGTCAGGAGATGCCATACAATTTTTCAAGAACCCGCTCGAGCTCTTTCATAAGTCAAAAAACATTGCTAAATTTTTTGTTTAATAATAGCATACTGCTTAAGAGGTTAAACAAATAAACAGAAAGTTGACATAATATTTAAGCAAGTCAGCAAAGTCCTAGTTATCTGCTTGGTGATGTGCTATTTCTCACTTTAGTAAATTGGATGGAAGCAACTCTATTACCCCTAGAAAACAGTAAGCAATCAGGGTCAATGAAAAGCTTGAACTACCTTAAGACAACAACTTTTTTCATTTCTATAAGCAAGAATTGTATACCTATCTGTGTACATTACTGAAGCCTTAGAAAAAAAGGGCTGGTTTCATTTGTAAATCTCTTTGTCTTAAATAGAATCAAATTTTACATTTTGGTTTTTTTGGAGAAAAACTCAAAACAAAATGTTTTGCTCTAGGAGCAGCAGATTTTATCTATAAAAGGCCAGATAGTAAAATTTTTAAACTTTGTGAGCCACACGGTCTATCTGTACTATGGACCTCTCTCACTTTAACATGAAAGCAGCCATTGACAATATAGGAACAAATAGTTGTGTCTGTGTTACAATAATACTTTATTAAGAAAAACAAGAGGGGGGCTCTAATTTGGCGACCCTGCTGTAGAGTCTAAAAACCACTGTTGTTAAGAATCTGGAGAAATTTGGGGTTTGATGCCTTGATCCCAAAGATGACAAGTGGGTAATGTTTATTTGAAATTTCTTGATTGATTGGTTTGTGTTTTCCTTAGAGTAAAAGATCTGCTGGAGAAAGTTGAAGGCAACTCTGCAAATCATGACACCCTAATTAAAGTCAATTGAGTAACTTGGATTTTGAGAAATTGAGATCAGTAGAAGCAAAACAATTACAAAGAAACAAAAAGTGATTTAGGTACCTGAGAGGGAAATTTGTTAGATTAGCAGAGGCTTCAAAATATTGGAATGGATATAGAGAAGAGGCCATATAATTGTATCAAATTGGAATATTATGAGACTAGAGGTGATTTAGGTATTATACTATCTGATTTCAGGAAAATGGATTGTGTCATCTCCATGATTCCTTTAAGAAGAATATGTGTAATTATGGTTCTTTAATTCTAGTTTAGATAATATAATTGATTAGCTTCTTAGGTAATCTCATCAATCACTTGGATTTTGTAAATACATTCTAACCTACATCCCCAAACCCTGTTCTTCCTAATTTCCATACATATAGAGGACTCTTAGAAGCTGAAGTGCTATAAAAATTTTGATTATGTATATCAAAACCCTGATTTTACCTAGACTCATATTTTTAAAAATAATATCTTCTTCTGGAATACCTGGTCATCTTCCATTTAAAAAAAGTCAACAGGAGAAAGCAGAGCTTGATAGTAGATAATGGTGGAATAGAAGTTGCTCACCCAGCTTTACTTTCCATGCCCTATGTTGCCTCTTTTGGAAGGCACTGTCAAAAGCTGTATACTGGTAATTATATCTTTTAAAAAAGAATATCTTCATAGGTTTTTTTTGGGGCTGTGGGGAGCAGTAGGGGTTGCCTTGTGTGTCTCTCATAAGCCCAGCCTCCTATATGCTATCTCCCTAACATAGAATACCTAAGCAGGACATTAATTTAGAAAACTTTCCTTGAAGTGACCTTAAAATTCTGCCTTTGCAAATCCTTTACATCCTATATATAAAATTCGTTCCTTGTTCTTGCAATTAGTGTAGCTTTGGAAGTATAGGAATCAAGTTGCAGAAATCAAGAAATATCTTTTGTGTTGCTGTTCCTTAGTTATCTACATGTTGACACTTGAGGTGAAATTATAAAAATTCAGAAGAATTTTCTGAACATCCTTGAACAATTTCAAAAGAATTCTCCCTTTATCTGAAGGAAAATAGAAAAGTTTGGAATTTTAGCCTTTTGAGCTTAGCTGTTATTCTTTGCTTAATAGCAGAGCATATATCACAAATTTCTATTTATTTGGTTATATATAGGTTTAGCTGGTAGTTGACATCAGGTTTTCTTTTGTCTCTGTAATTTTCCAGGAAAACTCAGTGGTCTCTGTCAGATGAACAAAATCTTTGTCCAAAACTGTGGTGATAGAAAACTCTTTGTGGGAGTTTATTCCAGTCACTGTCTGGACTAATAATTTTCTGTTTACTTCTTAATCTCTAATGCATATTTCCCTTAAGTCTTCCTCCAAGAGCTATAATAGAATTTTTCTGTTTTGTGAGTCTCCAAAAAATGAAATTCTGTGAATGAAGCCTTAATTTGACTCTTGATAATTAATTTTTCTTTCCAATGATTTGTATTATAGAATATAAAAGAAAATTAGTATTTGTCTTGCTACGTAGCTTTTAAAATACCACGTTTGCTTTCTCTTTTGAAAACACATCTTGAGTTTTAATTTTTTTGACAGCCTCCAGTGGATGGTCCATGATTAGAGCTCAAGACCAATAACATGAGGATGTAATTAATTAGTGGCTTAGGATATAATTATTTAGGTGTTGTTTATGTCCCATGTGAAGGGGAAAAGAAATAAAAAGTATTGTTTATGAACCATATAAAAATCTTGTGGGTTTTTTCCCCCTAGAGAAAGCAAGAAATTAAACTGTTGTTTCAAATATTTTACTTTGTTCAATTTGGGATAATAGACACTTTGTAGTTCACATTATTTTACCGTAATATATATTTACTTGACTTATTTAGGATGTAGTAAGAGATTTTTAAAGGAATTTCTCTTGGTGCCTGAGAAGAGAAATATTCATCCTTGTCCAGCTATTCTGTCATTTATATCCAGTGACTTAACTTCCCAGCTTCAGTTTTGACACTTAAAAATTGAATACACTGGATCTGATAAATGGCATTTTGATTATAGGTTAGAGATAAATTATTATAAATTATCTTGAAGTCACATTTTAAACAGTTTCTTTGCAAGTTTTTGTCTTTGTTTAGAGTCATTTAACATTTATTGTAAAGAAGAATGTTGGCTCCTTTGTGAGTGTACAAATGTTTTTTCCTTCACATTTTGCAAAAAGTACAATGTAATTTTTGGCATTATTTTCACCATAGTCCCTACTTGGTTTCTACTTTGAAGTAATAAAACCTCCTGATAAAATATGCTTTTTAAGAGATCTCTCTAAAAAAATATGCTTTGCTCTTTTCAGGGCAATCAGATAGAATATTGAACTGAAAGTTCTGTTGCTGTGGGAGAGGAGGAAAAAGGAGAAGCTACCTAGCACTGACTCTTCAACATAATTCTCTTGTTTATCTGACTGTCAGCTTTCCCTGGAACTTGAAATGTTGGCTGATTGAAAACTGGGTTCATTGTTGACCTAGGGAAATTTGAGTGTCAAATCAGGACCACCTTAATTGTAATTTTCTTCCCCTGACTTAAAGATAATCTGTTCAATTCCAGAAACTTGAAATATTTAGATATTAACAAGCTTCACCCACTTTTCAGGTCATTCCTTCCCTCCCCCCCATCTCTGTCCCTCTAAGAAATGCAACAAAACCTTATCTAGAGTAATCTTTCACTATTAGCCGCACTTTTTAGTACTAGCAAATTTGCTAAAAGGAGAAAATATAAGAGTTTTGATTTTTGTTAACTTCGCTACTACTTACATGTGACTGTACGTGAAATAGAGTTCTTTAGTAAATATTGAAAGTTGATAATAAACTAAATGTATCAATGGTGCTTAATGGTCTTGGCTGTCATTGCTTGTGTACTGTCCTTCCTACACATTAGGTTTTAGAGTAAACATGTTTAGAGTTAAGTTTTGGAGATTACTACAAGCATAGGGATTTTCTTATTAGTTATCCAGCTGTAGATTTCCAGATTGCTGATTCTGTTTTCATTTTAAAGCAAAAGATGGTATAGTTATAAGGAAAATACAAAACCTTGCAGGACTCTTAGCTCCTTACCCTAATGCTGAAGTAGAGCCTTTTATTTCAAGTTTATAATTTCAGTTACTCAAATAAGACGATTATGCTTATGGTTCTTCCTTCCTCCTAGATTCGTCTTCTGGATGTCTAAGTGCCTCGACTTATCAGGGTGCCATAGATGTTTATGTCAGCCAACTGGGAAAAGTGGAATTGAAATCCCATAAAGGTTAGCCAAGTAGAATGTTTTATTTTGACATATGGTGTAAGGAAGGTTTTATGTAACATTCAGGAAACAGATGGTCAAATTATCTTATCTACACTGACATAGAGATTTCAATAAAATTTTTCTCTGTTCGAACCTGATTTAAAGACTGGAATACTAGCCCTCTAGACCAGTGATCTTTGAAACTTTTGGAACAGATGGCCATGAAGACTATCTTTCCTTTTGTAATACAAACAAAAATGTTGTAATTTATTGACTGTTATTGTGGAATTTTTTAGTGTTAGTGTTTGGGTTTTTTCAGTTTAGTTTTATGTCGGAAATAGAATATTCTTTGGAGGGAAAGTGCTCTCATACATTCTTTTGGAAGCTTTCCTGCTAACTTGTAAGAGGACCTTCTCAGGCCATTACTCTAGAGTAATACTTTTAAAAGCGTGATCCTGCAATAAAGGTATCACCAAAAGGTCCTCTAAAGTGATTATTGACTTGGTCTCTTGTAGTATCAGGCTTATGATGTGTCTCTTTCTGTAATCTTATTTCTAATACAAATAGCTTATTCTAAGAGTCCAAGTCTTTCATTAATAATTATACACTTTTTAATCATCTGAAGGCTGAATATACAAGTCTTTGTGTGCGTGCATGCACATAGATGTACACGTGCGTGCTGGCAAGTGACTTGGGTACTTGGAGTAGCTTGGCTATAGTGGCTTAAGTGACCTGGGTTCAGAAAGTTAAGAACCATAGCTCTGTATAAAAAATTTTTTAGAGAAAGTCTGAAAGCTCTTGCATATGAGCCAGAACAAGGCTATGTGTATAACAGGGAAAAAACCTCCACAGAGACCAGTTGTTCCTGCTGTTAGTAATTTCTTTGCCATGTTGGCAAAGTTTAAATACTTTAAACCTTAAAGTTTAAATTTTAAATACTTTAAAATTTAAAGTTTTAACACTTTTTAATAGCTTTTTGCCCAGTGAGGCTCTCTTTGTCAATGTCAAAATAAAACTACAAACACAGACGTCTGAAACTGAAGTTATTGCTGAGACACAGGTATTTTTTGATTTCTCAAGATCATATATTTTTTTCCTTTTAAATAGGATAATATTATGTTCTCACTAAATTTCTAAGAGCTTCAATAATACTATTCAGGGTATTTTGTAAATGTCAAAAAAGGTCATATAACTGCTTTCTTGTATTATGAAGACCCAAGGAGAAAAAACATTACTACATTTAATGTAACTAGTAACAGAGTAAAAACAAAGTTTTGAATAGCAGCTCTTACATGAAAATTATTTCCTGTTTTGTATGGATGGGCAAAAAAGTGAAACAAAAAGCATTGCTAATCTTCATCCACTTTAATTATTTTTAACTATTATTTGGATTGTTGTTCCAGTAACTTACTGAAATAGCATATGATGTTGCAAGACTTGATTGGGATTACAATTTTGTGTTTTCTCCTCTTGGGACCATGATACTGGCAGGAGCTTAAAGATAACTGGAAACAAAGATTTCTGTCTTAATTCAGGTCTCTAATTCTCACTACACTTGGGAACAGTAACTTTCTGGAGTGATGGAAAGTTATTCAGGATTCTATTGCTTAATAGTAAAGACATCTGGAATCCTTTCCAACTCTGCCACTGTCTTGCTGTAGGGTTTAAGAGCCAGCTACTTGAGTCTCTTAGGCTGCCCTTTCAGCTCCTATGGCCATTTTGCCAAGTGAAAAAGAATGTCACAATGCTTGTTTCCTCTCTTCCTATGAAACTTAACATAGTGACCTTATTCATTCATTCAGAAAGGCTGTGTTATGGCTTGAGAGTCAGAACTGCATCTGAGTACTGACTTTTCCACTTAAAAATTGTCCTTGATAAAGCCACTAATCTTAGTATATAGTATCCCTTCAATTAATGATGCTGTTGTTAGTATTAGTTCACTTTTTAATTTTTTAAAAATGGTATTGATATCAATAACCGTGAAGCAGTTTTTGAAGTGAAAAGAGGTTGAAGACATACAGGCGCTCTCCTTTCTAAAGAAGATAGTCTTAGAGATGGGACATTTGGGAAAGCTTTCAAGTCGTGAGAATTCTTCATTCATAAATAGGAATGGAGTTTTAATAGTGATAGTTTTTGCTTTTTAAGGATGTGGAGAGAGATGGGGATAGAACTATCTGCATTGCTTAACATTTTTAAAACTCTGACAGGGCTTCCCTGGTGGCGCAGTGGTTGAGAGTCCGTCTGCCGGTGCAGGGGACACGGGTTCGTGCCCCGGTCCGGGAGGATCCCGCGTGCCGCGGAGCGGCTGGGCCCGTGGGCCATGGCCGCTGGGCCTGCGCGTCTGGAGCCTGTGCTCTGCGGCGGGAGGGGCCTGCGTACCGCAAAAAAAAAAAAAAAAAACCCCACAAAAACTCTGACAGATTTAAGATCCCTTATTTAAGAACAGAAAAGAAAGATGTTCATAAAATTATTACATTTGATGTATGTAGAGGTAATGTCCTAGAAAAAGTTTTTAAAATCTGTTATTTTCTACTTTTTAAAGTATGTTTGGTAGAAAAAACATGTATCTTCTATTCCTCCTGACATATTCCAGGTTTGTTTTTGTTTTGTATTTTCCTAAAGCTCTCATATCTGTTTTTATGGGCAACTCCTGTTAGTAGTTTACATTTAAACCCTGAAAAGCAATTTCTTTTTTAAATAAGATAAACCAATTGTATTTTTGTGCTTTGTTCCCCCCTTTTTGAGTAGTAAATATGAAACTTCATCAGTCTTAACCCCAGATTTCCAACTCCCATTAGAAAGGCTGAGAAGATGTGGAATTATTTAGTGAAACTTAAGCTGATGTTCACCAAACTAGAAAGCACACAAAGACCCATAAATAAATGCCTTCTAAAAGGAATCTTTACAACATTCACAATGGATGTCATCCTGACCATCTTTGTCCACAGAGTTGGGGTTACTGTTTTATGGGAAAGACCTCTCTTATTTATTTGATATATGAGAAATAGAGAAAGAAAAACTCTTGAAACAGGAGTGTACTGGTGAGTTTGCACTGCAAACCACATAATTGTTTTGAAAAATGATTCCTTCCTAACAGAGTACTTTTTCTTATTTCGTCCTTTAGAAGTTGAATTATTGTAAGATTGTAGATGAAATAAAGTTGAGTGTCTTGCTTCAGGTACCCAAAATTCTGTAATCCATTAAAAAGAAATGTTAGTTGAAATATAAATATTTCCGTTTTAAATTTTTGTTATCGCCCTCTCCACACCCCCAACCAAATAAGGTACCACTGAAAGCACAAGAGCTCAGGGTTCTGGTTGTATTATAATAATCAGTGAGGTTACAAGTCCTGTAATACAATGAGGTAGCAGTGTATGAAACACGACAATGGTTAAGAGCATAGGTTTGTTGTCATTGAAATGGACCTTGATTCCAGCAGTAGCTGTAGTGGAAACTTGAGCAAGTTCTTATCTGTAAAATCGGAATTATAATAATACCTCATAAAGTTGAGAGAGAAATTAAAAGATAATATAATGAAGGTGTTTGGCTCTTAGTAAATGCTCAATTAATGGTAAATTCTGTCTATAAGCTGCATGTGTATTAAACTCTTCACTTTTCTGGTATTGGATGAGCTGAGAAGGGCTGTTGGCAAAAAGAGAAATAGTAGTTCATGATGTCCTAATGACTCATATTCTTGACAGAAGATACTGTGAATGCCTTGGGAATACCTGGGAGTAAGGAAAAGGTACAGCTATTTAAATAAAATAAGCTGATGAGTAAAGACAGTGTATCAGGAGCAGTGCTACCTGTTCAATCATTTTTTATAATAGGCTCTAGTACTTTTTATTTCTTTGCATTAATAAGCTCTCCTTTAAATTTATCACAGGATCTGTTCTTGTCAAGGTTGCATCTTCTCTTCAAGCTTATTTACAGTTATCAGGGAAAGAGATTGATGTGAACTCAGAAGTCCATGTTGAAGAAATGGATGAAGCTCATAAAGATGACGGTATAATAATTACTGGTAAGGAGGCTGCATTTTGCTATGTAAGGTGAATAGTCATTGTCCATCTATGAGTAGAAATATGCTACATTTAACTGAAGTTTTAGTCTTTATTCCTTTCCATTGTCACATGTTGGCGTTTGACACTTTTTTCTTCCAACTGTTTATCAGTAACACAATTGCAGACATTTAGTTTGAAGCACTCACTATTCCTGGATAGTGAATAGTCATTAGATAAAATTTATTTGAAAAACTTCCCTATCAAAGAGATATTTGCACACTCATATTCATAGCAGCATTATTCACAGTAGCCAAGAGGTAGAAGCACCCCAAATGTCTATTGATGGATGAAAGCAAAAATGAAATGTGATATATAAACATACAATGGAATACTGTTCAGCCTTAAAAAGGAAGGAAATCCTGTCACATGCTACAACATGGATGTACCTTGAGGACACTATGCTAAGTGAAATAAGCCAATCACAAAAAAGACAAATAATGTATGATTGCATTTATACAAGATATCTAAGGAAACAAAGTACAGGGAGAGGAAAATGAGTTGTTCAGCAGGTATGAAGTTTCAGTTTTGCAAGATGAAAAAGTTCTGGAGATCTATTGCACAACAATATGAATATACTTAACACTGCTAAACTGTAAACTTAAAAGTAGTTAAAATGGCAAATTTTATTTTATGTGTTTTTTACCATAATCAAAAATCTGAAAACCATTAAAATTTTTTTTTTCTTTTTTGGCACAGCTGCTTTCTAATTCTTGGACTTGAAAATCAACTACAGTTGACCCTTGAACTACAGAGGGGTTAGGGACACTGGTCCCCTGCCCCAGGGCAGTCGAAAATCCACCTGTAACTTTGCAGTCAGCCCTCCATATTTGTGGTTCCACATCTGTAGATTCAACCAACTGCAGATCGTGTAGTACTATCGTATGTATTTATTGAAAAAATCTGTGTATAAGTGGATTTGCATAGGTCAAACCTGTGTTGTTCAAGGGCCAACTGTAAATACATATATTACAGTGTAAGATGTAAAGTTAATTTTGTATGATTATAATAAATAGGAGTTTGGTTTGGTATTATGCACATTGTAAACTTGATCTTTTAGTACAACCTGACCTTTTAGTACAAATTCTCAATTCCAGAAATGTGAAGAGCTTTTCCACATTTTTTCTAATTACCTGTGGATGTATTAATGGCTGATACTACTTAAAAAAATATGTATGGTATAGATAATTATATAGTAAAAAAAATTAATGCTGGCAAACTTTTTAAAATCTTAACCAGAATGGCATTGAGAAGGACATTGAAATTACCATGAGGTCTTGATATAGCAATCTATGTATATATAAGATTGTTTTAAGTTTCTGGTCTCTTAGTTTCAAATGCATTTCCAATATCCTGAATTTGTACTGTCCTCTTCTCACGATTGCTGGTTTTGATGTCATATTTGTGTGTGGATGATTTCCTACCTTTATTCTATGTTTGCCTTTCCCATTTGTTAGTTTTCTTGTTTCTAATTGTGGCCTTTTCTGTATACAGAAGTTCCTTTAGCATTTGTTGCAAAGCTGATCTAGTGGCGCTGAATTCTCTTAACTTTTGCTTGTCTGTAAAGCTTTTGATTTCTCTGTCAAATCTGAACATATGTATCTTAAGTATATCATTCCACTCCCCTTCTGGCCTGAAGAATTTCTGCTGAAAAATCAGCTGATAACCGTATGGGGATTCCCTTGTATGTTATTTGTTGCTTTTTCCCTTATCTTTTAATATTTTAAAAGATTTTAAAATTTTTCTCTTTGTCTTTAATTATTGTCAATTTGACTAATAGGTGTCTCAGTGTGTTCTTCCTTGAGTTAATCCTGTATGGGACTCTGTGATTCCTGGACTTGAGTGAGTGTTTCCTTTCCCATGTTAGAGAAGTTCTCAGCTATTATCTCTTCAGATATTTTCTCAGTCCCTTTCTCTCTCTTTTCTCCTTTTGGGACCCCTATGATGCAAATGTTGATGCATTTAATGTTGTCCCAGAGGTGTCTGAGATTGTCTTTATTTCTTTTCATTCTTTTTCTTTTGTTCCGTTCGGCAGCAGTGATTTCTACCAATCTGTCTTCCAGCTTACTTATTCGGTCTTCTGCCTCATTTATTCTGCTATTGATTCCTTCTAGCATATTTTTCACTTCAGTTATTGTATTGTTCATTTCTGTTTGCTCTTTAAAGCTTTTAGCTCTTTATTAAACATTTCTTGTATCCTCAGTCTGTGCACCATTCATTTCATGAGATCTTGGATCATGTTTACTATCATTACTTCTGAATTCTTTTTCAGGTAGATTGCCTATCTCTGCTTCACTTAGTTTTTCTTCCGTGGTTTTATCTTCTTCCTTCGTCTGTGACCTATTTCTCTGCCATCTCATTTTGTTTAACTTCCTCTGTTTGTGGTCTCCATCCCTCAGGCTTTAGGATTGTAGTTCTTCTTGGTTCTAGTGTCCGCCCCCTGGTGGATGAAGTTGGTCCAGGGGTTTGTGCAGGCTTCCTGGTGGGAGGGGCTGGTGCCTGCCCACTGATGGGTGGAGCTGCATCTTGTCCCTCTGGTGTGCAGGGTCGTGTCAAGGGGTGTGTTTCTAGGTGGCTGTTTGCTCAGGCCAACTTAAAGCAGCCTGTCTGCTGATGGGTGGAGCTGTGTTCCCACCCTGTTGGTTGTTTGGACTGAGGCGTCCCAGCACTGGAGCCTGCAGACTGTTGGTGGGGCCGGGTCTCAGTGCCAAAATGGTGACCTCCAGGAGAGCTCATGCTGATGAGTGTTCCCTGGAGCATCCACCACCAGTGTCCTTGACTCCACAGTGAGCCGGAGCTGACCCCTGCCTCCACAGGAGACCCTCCATAACCCGCAGGTAGGTCTGGCCCAGGTTTCTATGGAGTCACTGTTTTGCCCTGGGTCCCAGTGCATGTGAAAACTTGTGTACATCCTCCAAGAGTGGAGTCTCTGTTTCCTCAGACCTGTGGAGCTCCTGCACTCAAGCCCCACTGGCCTTCAAAGCCAAATGCTCTGGGGGCTCCTCCTTGCGATATCAGACTCCCAGGCTGGGGAGCCTGACATGGGACTTGGAACTCTCACCCTGTGGGAGGACCTCTGCAATATAATTATTTTCCAGTTTGTGGGTTGCGCACCCAGTGGGTATGGAATTTGATCATGTTGTGAAAGTGCCCCTCCTACTATCTCGTTGTGGCTTCTTTGTTTTGGGGTGTAGAATATCACTTTTGGTAGGTCTGAGTCCTTTTTGTTGATGATCATTCAGCAGTTAGTTGTGATTTTGGTGTTTTCGTGAGAGGAGGTGAGCTTAAATCCTTCTACTGCGCCATCTTGTCTCCAGCCCAGAGGACATTGAAATTAAAGTGTGTACGTGCACGTATGCCACAGGCTTACCCATGAGATAGTCTCAAGAAAAAGAAAGTGTGGTGGTGGTGTGTGGTTATGGTGGCATTGGGGTATCTTCATAAGACCAAGTTTCACAATTATTAACAGCCACTATATTAAATCTTGGCAGAGAGTAAAGATTATTTGGGGGAGGCAGTATTTTTTTTGGCAAAAATAATTTATTTAATGACCAAGAAAAAAGATCAAGTTTCAGTTTTAAATATTCATTTTATATATCGTAAAGGTTAAGAAGTCAGTCTTAAAAATCATAGAATATTAACAAAAAGCACAGCAGTAATAAAAATAACACCTGTACACTTTCAGATTAACTCAGTGCCTAATGGGCAGACTCTTAGTTACGCAGAGAAAATTGGATGAAAATTTAAGTGTATTAAATGTGGTAAGAATCAGTTTCTTGTGATCTGATATCTTGAATTTGATAGGGAGCCAATAGAGTTACCTTTTTTGGCCCTGGTAATGTAAAGTAATAATACAAATTTGTTTAATAATGCTCTGAATGATAGCATAATCAAATTATTTTACATAAGTTAAGAATGTTTGAATTATAAATTATTTTTTCAGTTTTCATTCTGTAACTTGTAGAATCATATGCCTTTTTAAAATTTAGATTTAGTTTAAGTTGCATTTCAAAACCCTGTTCTCATCATTCCAACCATTAAAAAAAAAAGACCTTATTAAATCCTCTAAGAACAGTTACTAGTCCTGTCATTGGATAAAATCATTATCTGCGGACCCAATCTCTTTATTAAGTCTTGCCCATTTCCATTCCACTAAACAGGTACCACCTCAAACTTAATATATTTGAAAACAAATATTATCTTTTCCTAGCCTAGTTCCTCTTCCACCTGTCATCTCTATTTTCCTTTATTTGTTCAGTCAGTCCCTCAGCAAACATTTATTGAGTCGGGTACTGCTAGAAACTAGGAGTGCAAAGATAAGATAATAAAGTTTGGTCTCTCTGCCATCTGAGGAGGTTACATCCTAGTGAAGCAAGACAGACAAACCAGTGAATACAATACAATAAATGTTATAATAAAGGTATGTACGTGGTACTGTGAGAGCATGGAGGTGGTGCATCTAAATTACACTAGCGTTGTGAGTTTGAGGAAGTGAGACAAGTCCAATATAGCTAGAGTGTAGCGAGTAAGGGGCACAGTGGTATAAAAGGAGGCTGGAGAGTTCGATAGGGATCAGATCATATAGGGCAGATTTGGCTTTTATACTCAGTGCTTTGCAAAGGCACTGAAAGGTTTTAATCTGGGGTTCATATAATCAGATCTGTATATTAGAAAGATCACTAAATGTTGAGTGGGGAAAAATTGGAAAGGACAATGGTGGATGAAGGAAAAGTTAATTTTAATTAGCAGGTTACTGTAGTAATTCAGGAGAAAGAGTTCAGTGGCCTGGACTCCACAGTGATCTATTTTAAACTAAACAAATAAATAAATAAGCCTTGGATAAATTTTGGTGGAAAAAAATTGATATAGGTGTACCTCATTTTATTGTACTTTGCTTTATTGCAGTTCACAGATACAATTTGTGTTTTTCACAAATTGAAGTTTTGTGACAACTGTGCATGGAGCTTGTTTGTTGGCACCATTTTTCCAAGAGCATTTGCTCACTTTGCATCTCTGTATTTCGTTTTGGTAATTCTCACAGTATTTCAAACTTTTAAAATTATTATTTGTTTTGTTGATATGTGGTCAGTGGTCTTTGATGTTACTGTTACAGTTGTTTTGGGGCATCATGAACGACGTTGCCCATATAAGACATAAAACTTAATTGATAAATGTTCTGTGTCTTCTGACTGCTCTACTGATTGGCTGGTCCCCTGGTTCTCTCCCTCTCCTCAGACCTCCCTATTCCCTGAGACACAACAGTATTGAAATAGGCCAGTGAATAACCGTACCATGGCCTCTAAGTCATCAAGTGAAGGGAAGAGTTGCACATCTCACTTTAAATCGAAAGCTAGAAATGATTAAGCTTAATGAGGAAGGCATATTGAAGCCAAGATAGGATGAGAGTTAGGCCTCATCCAGGTAGCCAAGTTGTGAATGCAAAGGAAAAGTTCTTAAAGGAAATTAAAAGTGCTACTCCAGTGAACACGTGAATGATAAGAAAGCGAAACAGCCTTATTGCTGATATGGAGAAAATTTTAGTGGTTTGGATAGAAGATCAAGCCAGCCACAACTTTCCTTTAAGCCAAAACCTAATCCAGAGCAAGGTCCTAACTCTTTCCAATTCAGTAAAGGCTGAGAGGGATGAGGAAGCTGCAGAAGAAAAGTTTGAAGCTAGCAGAGTTTGGTTTAAGGAGGTTTAAGGAAATACGCTGTCTCCATATCATAAAACTGCAAAGTGAAAGCAGCAAGTGCTGATGTATAAGCTGCAGCAGGTTATCCAGAAGATCTAGCTAAGGTAATTAATGAATGTGACTTCACTAAACAACAGATTTTCAATGTAGAAGAAACAGCCTTATATTGGAAGAAAATTCCACCTAGGCCTTTCATAGCTAGAGAAGAGAAGTCAGTGCCTGGCTTCACAGCTTCAAAGGACTGAATGACTCTGCTTAAGGGCTAATGCAGCTGGTGACTTAAAGTTGAAGCCAGTGTTCATTTACCATACTGAAAATCCTACACGCCTTCAGAATTACACTCAATCTACTCTGCCTGTGCTCTATAAACGGAACAACAAAGCCTTGGTGACAGCATATCCGTTTACAACATGGTTTAGTGAATATTTTAAGCCCACTGTTGCTACCTACTGCTCAGGAAAAGAAAAAAAAGATTCCTTTCAAATTATTACTGTGCACTGACAATGCAGTTAGCCACCCAAGAGCTCTGATAGAGATGTACAATGATATTAATGTTTTCATGCCTGCTAACACAACATCCATCCTGCAGCCCACAGATCTGGAGTAAATTCGACTTTCAAGTCTTATTATTTAAGAAACACATTTTGTAAGGCTCTAGCTGCCATAGATAGTGATTCCTCTGATGGATCTGAGCAAAGTGAGCTGAAAACCTTCTGGAAAGGATTCACCATTCTAGATGCCACTAGAACATTTGTGATTTATGGGAAGAGGTCAAAATAGCAACATTAACAGGAATTTAGAAGAAGTTGAGTCCAACCCTCATGGATGACTTTGAAGGAAGTCATGACTTTGGAGGAAGTAACTGCAGATGTGGTGGAAATAGCAAGAGAACTAGAATTATAAGTGGAGCTGGAAGATGTGACTGAATTGCTGCAATTTCATGATGAAACTTTAATGGATAAAGAATTGCTTCTTATGGATGAGCAAAGAAAGTGGTTTCTTGAGATGGAATCTAGTCCTGGTGAAGATGCTAGCAGATTGTTGAAATTATAACAAAGGATTTAGAATATTACACAAATTTAGTTGATAAAGCAGCAGCAAGATTTGAGAGGATTGGCTCCAATTTTTAAAGAAGTTCTACTGTGGGTAAAATGCTATCAAACAGTATTGCATGCTACAGAGAAACAATGAAAGGAAGAGTCAGTCAATACACCAAACTTCGTTGTTGTCTTATTTTAGGAAATGGCCGTATCCACTCCAGCTTCCAGCAGCCACCAGCCTAATCAGTCAGCAGCCATCAACACTGAAGCAAGACTCTCCACCAGCAAAAAGATTATTAATTGCTAGTCAGATAATGGTTAGCATTTTTTGTTTTACTCTTTATAAATTTTTATTATATAAAAAATTTATAAAATTTTAAATTATGCTTGTAAATGGATGCTGTGAGGAAGATGCATGCTTACCTCATTGGTTATTATGAAGCTTCTTAGGCCATTTAATTATTTTTCTGTTATTTGTTACTATATCTTATACTCTAGCCCCTATTTCCTAAACCAGGAAGGACCAAATTTTAGAGCAAAGTTTATTTCCTGCCCACAGTCCAAGAATCTGGGTACTGATCAGCAAATTTCTTTTGGAGAGTAGCACATGATGTACGATGAGGTTGGGCCCCAGGTTGTCTCTGATAGTAGATTAAATCCATTAAAGTAATCGTACAGAGGGACTTCAGATAAACACAACAGTCTCCTGTGGAGAGAGCTGTATGAACAAGTTATTGAGTTTAGAGAAACTTTTGTTTCATTTTGATTCCAAAACTGGTGCCCAAAAGGCCACAGACCTTATTTATCAAGTGGATATCAAGTGGAATAATTTGAGGCCTAGAAAATTAAAGCAGTTTGCTTTTTCTATGGAGATTTTCAATCTGAAACCCAAGTTTGGAAGTAATGAGCAACTTTATGTGTCAGTTGTTATTATAGGCAGCTGAGCTCAGCTCTTTTGGGCCACCATACAGAGCCTATGAGGCATAGAAACAGAAATACTCTCACTGCTAAGAGGTCTGGATTGTATCTGTAGCATGATTTCTGCAAGAAACCATGCCAATAAACTTTAGTTCCTGGGGCTCAGGCTTCCCACAGGGTTTGATGTGTCAGCCCTGTAATTTTATTTAAATTCCTGCTCCATGGTTTCCCTTGTTGTTGCCGTCACTGGTAAATAACTGTGTGTTGTATAATTCTTTTTTTTTTTTTGAATTTTATTTTATTTTTTTATACAGCAGATTCTCCAATTTTATACACATTGGGATTGTCAATCCCAATCGCCCAATTCATCACACCCCCACCCCCACCCCTGCACCCCTTTCCCCCCTTTGTGTCCATACGTTTGTTCTCTACATCTGTGGCTCAGTTTCTGCCCTGCACACCGGTTCATCTGTACCATTTTTCTAGGTTCCGCATATATGCGTTAATATACGATATTTGTTTTTCTCTTTCTGACTTACTTCACTCTGTGTGACAGTCTCTAGGTTCATCCAGGTCCCTACAAATGACCCAATTTCATTCCTTTTTATGGCTGAGAAATATTCCACTGTATATATGTACCACATCTTCTTTATCCATTTGTCTGTCAGTGGGCATTTAGGTTACTTCCATGACCTGGCTATTATAAATAGTGCTGCAATGAACATTGGGGTGCATGTGTCTTTTTGAATTGCGGTTTTCTCTGGGTATATGCCCAGTAGTGGGATTGATGGGTCATATGGTAGTTCTATTTGTACTTTTTTAAGGAGCCTCCATACTGTTCTCCATAGTGGCTGTATCAATTTACATTCCCACCAACAGTGCAAGAGGGTTCTCTTTTCTCCACACCCTCTCCAGCATTTGTTGTTTATAGATTTTCTGATGATGCCCATTCTAACTGCTGTGAGGTGATACCTCACTGTAGTTTAGATTTGCGTTTCTCTAATAATTAGTGATGTTGAGCATCTTTTCATGTGCTTCTTGGCCATCTGTATGTCTTCTTTGGAGAAATGTCTACTTAGGTCTTCTGCCCATTTTTGGACTGGGTTGTTTGTTATTTTAATATTGAGCTGCATGAGCTGTTTATATATTTTGGAGATTAATCCGTTCTCCATTGATTCGTTGGCAAATATTTTCTCCCATTCAGAGGGTTGTCATTTTGTCTTGTTTGTAGTTTCCTTTGCTTTGCAAAAGCTTTGAAGTTTCATTAGGTCCCATTTGTTTATTTTTGTTTTTATTTCCATTACTCTAGGAGGTGGATCAAAAAAGATCTTGCTCTGATTTATGTCAGAGAGTGTTCTTCCTGTGTTTTCCTCTAAGAGTATTTATAGTGTCTCATCTTACATTTAGGTCTCTAATCCATTTTGAGTTTATTTTTGTGTATGGTGTTAGGGAGTGTTCTAATTTCATTCTTTCACATGTAGCTGTCTAGTTTTCCCAGCACCACTTATTGAAGAGACTGTCTTTTCTCCATTGTATATCCTTGCCTCCTTTGTCATAGATTAGTTGACCATAGGTGCGTGGGTTTATCTCTGGGCTTTCTATCTTGTTCCATAGATCTATGTTTCTGTTTTTGTGCCAGTCTTGATTACTGTAGCTTTGTAGTAGAGTCTGAAGTCAGGGAGCCTGATTCCTCCAGCTCCGTTTTTTTCCCTCACGACTACTTTGGCTATTCGGGGTCTTTTGTGTCTCCGTACAAATTTTAAGATTTTTTGTTTTAGTTCCATAAAAAATGCCATTGGTAATTTGATAGGGATTGCATTGAATCTGTAGATTGCTTTGGGTAGGATAGTCATTTTCATAATGTTGATTCTTCCAGTCCAAGAACATGGTATATCTCTCCATCTGTTAGTATCATCTTTAATTTCTTTCATCAGTGTCTTATAGTTTTCTGCATACAGGTTTTTTTTCTCCCTAGGTAGGTTTATTCCTAGGTATTTTATTCTTTTTGTTGCAATAGTAAATGGGAGTGTTTCCTTAATCTCTGTTTCATATTTTTCATTATTAGGGTATAGGAATGGAAGAGTATTCTGTGCATTAATTTTGTATCCTGCAACTTTACCAGATTCATTGATTAGCTCTAGTAATTTTCTGGTGGCATCTTTAGGATTCTCTATGTATAGTATCATGTCATCTGCAAACAGTGACAGTTTTACTTCTTCTTTTCCCATTTGTATTCCTTTTATTTCTTTTTTTTCTCTGATTGCCATGGCTAGGACTTCCAAAACTATGTTGAATAATAGTGGTGAGAGTGGACGTCCTTGTCTTGTTCCTGATCTTAGAGTAAAGGCTTTCAGTTTCTCACCACTGAGAATGATGTTTCCTGTGGGTTTGTCATATATGGCCTTTATTATGTTGAGGTAAGTTCCCTCTATGCCCACTTTCTGGAAAGTTTTTATCATAAATGGGTGTTGAATTTTGTCAAAAACTTTTTCTGCCTCTATTGAGATGATCATATGGTTTTTATTCTTCACTTTGTTATTATGGTATATCACATTGATTAATTTGCATATATTGAAGAATTCTTGCATCCCTGGGATAAATCCCACTTGATCATGATGTACGATCCTTTTAATGTGCTGTTGGATTCTGTTTACTAGTATTTTGTTGAGGATTTTTGCATCTATATTCATGAGTGATATTGGCCTGTAATTTTCTTTTTTTGTAGTATCTTTGTCTGGTTTTGGTGTCAGGGTAATGGTGGCGTCATAGAATGAGTTTGGGAGTGTTCCTTCCTCTGTAACTTATTGGAAGAGTTTGAGAAGGACAGGTGTTAGCTCTTCTTAAATGTTTGATAGAATTCACCTGTGAAGCCATCTGGTCCTGGACTTTTGTTTGTTGGAAGATTATTAATAACAGTTTCAATTTCATTACTTGTGATTGGTCTGTTCATATTTTCTATTTCTTCCTGGTTCAGTCTTGGAAGGTTATACCTTTCTAAGAATTTGTCCATTTTATTGGCATAGAGTTGCTTGTAGTAATCTCTTAGGATGCTTTGCATTTCTGTGGTGCCTGTTGTAACTTCTCCTTTTTCATTTCTAATTTTATTGATTTGAGTCCTATCTCTCGTGTTCTTGATGAGTATGGCTAATGGTTTATCAATTTTGTTTATCTTCTCAAAGAACCAGCTTTTAAAAAAAAAAAAAGAACCAGCTTTTATTAGTTTTATTGATGTTTGCTATTGTTTTCTCTGTTTCTATTTCATTTATTTCTGCTCTGATATTTATGATTTCTTTGCTTCTGCTAACTTTGGGTTTTGTTTGTTCTTCTTTCTCTAGTTCCCTTAGGTGTAAGGTTAAATTGTTTATTTGAGATATTTGTTGTTTCTTGAGGTAGGCTTGTATTGCTATAAACTTCCCTCTTAGAACTGCTTTTGCTGCATCCCATAGGTTTTGGATCATCATGTTTTCACTGTCATTTGTCTCTAGGTATTTTTTGATTTCCTCTTTGATTTCTTCTGTTATCTCTTGGTTATTTAGTAATGTATTGTCTAGCCTTCATGTGTTTGTGTTTTTTACATTTTTTTCCCTGTAATTGATCTCTAATCTCGTAGCGTTGTTGTCAGAAAAGATGCTTGATAGGATTTCAATTCTGTTAAATTTACTGAGGCTTGATTTGTGACCCAAGATGTGATCTATCCTGGAGAATGTTCCGTGCGCACTTGAGAAGAAAGTGTAATCTGTTGTTTTTGGATGGAATGTCCTATAAATATCAATTAAATCTATCTGGTTTATTGTGTCATATAAAGCTTGTGTTTCCTTATTAATTTTCTGTTTGGATGATCTGCCCATTGGTGTAAGTGAGGTGTTAAAGTCCCCCACCATTATTGTGTTACCATCGATTTCCTCTTTTATAGCTGTTAGCAGTTGCCTTATGTATTGAGGTGCTCCTATTTTGGGTGCATATATATTTATAATTGTTATATCTTCATTTTGGATTGATCTCTCTATCATTATGTAGTGTCCTTCCTTGTCTCTTGTGACATTCTTTATTTTAAAGTCTATTTTATCTGCTATGAGAATTTCTACTCCAGCTTTCTTTTGATTTCCATTTGCATGAAATATCTTTTTCCATCCCCTCATTTTCAGTCTGTATGTGTCCCTAGGTCTGAAGTGGGTCTCTTGTAGGCAGCATATATATGGGTCTTGTTTTTGTATCCATTCAGCAAGCCTGTGTCTTTTGGTTGGAGCATTTAATCCATTCACATTTAAGGTACTTATCGATATGTATGTTCCTATTACCATTTTCTTAATTGTTTGGGGTTAGTTTTTGTAGGTCCTTTTCTTCTCTTGTGTTTCCCACTTAGAGAAGTTCCTTTAGCATTTGTTGTGGAGCTGGTTTGGTGGTGCTGAATTCTCTTAGCTTTTGCTTGCCTGTAAAGCTTTGATTTCTCCATCGAACCTGAATGAGATCCTTGCCTGGTAGAGCAATCTCGGTTGTAGGTTCTTCCCTTTCATCACTTTAAGTATATCATGCCACTCCCTTCTGACTTGTAGAGTTTCTGCTGAGAAATCAGCTGTTAACGTCATGGGAGTTCCCTTCTATGTTATTTGTCGTTTTTCCCTTGCTGCTTTCAGTAATTTTTCTTTGTCTTTAATTTTTGCCAATTTGATTACTATGTGCTCGGAGTGTTTCTCCTTGCGTTTTCCTGTATGGGACTCTCTGTGTTTCCTGGACTTGGGTGGCTATTTCCTTTTCCATTTCAGGCAAGTTTTTGACTATAATCTCTTCAAATTTTTCTCAGGTCCTTTCTCTCTCTCTTCTTCTGGGACCCCTAAAATGCGAATGTTGTTGTGTTTAAGAGGTCTCTTAGGCTGTCTTCATTTCTTTGCATTCTTTTTCTTTATTCTGTTCTGCAGCAGTGAATTCCATAATTCTGTCTTCCAGGTCAGTTATCCATTCTTCTGCCTCAGTTATTCTGCTATTGATTCCTTCTAGTGTAGTTTTCATTTCAGTTATTGTATTGTTCATCTCTGTTTGTTTGTTCTTTAATGCTTCTAGGTCTTTGTTAAACATTTCTTGCATCTTCTCGATCTTTGCCTCCATTCTTTTTCTGAGGTCCTGGATCATCTTCACTGTGATTATTCTGAATTCTTTTTCTGGAAGGTTGCCTGTCTCCACTTCATTTAGTTGTTTTTCTGGGGTTTTATCTTGTTCCTTCATCTGGTACATAGCCCTCTGCCTTTTCATCTTGTCTATCTTTCTGTGAATGTGGTTTTTGTTCCATAGG